GATGGTGTTAAACCGCCTCCTATGGAAATTTGGACCCTCTCATCATCACATATTTGGCTTCACCAAAGGAGTGGGTACAGCAGAGTGCATAATCACTCTACTAAGCAGTTTGATGATAGTGACAAAAAACTAGTATCGTCGTTACCTCGACCTGAAAAAGGATTTGAACTAGCCAGCCCCACAGCATTCTGGCACAATACTAGCTCGGAAAGGAATCATAAAGGACGCCTCCTGGCTTGGATAGAGTCTACCTTTAGGGACAGGAAGGCCTGTGTCGCTTTCAGGGACACTACTCTTCCTTTAAAAACCCTGGGAAAAACGGTACGCCACAAGGAGGATGTGCTCAGTCCTACCCTGTTTAACATCCTTATGCAGGAAGGAACTTGTGAGCCTTCCCTTCAGAGTGTGTGGGCACAGCTCTCAGTTTTGCTGATTGATCTTGCCACTGTAGTGAATGGGGAAAAGGCTTTAGAAGACAGGCTCAGAGAGCTCTGGACCTAATTACGCAGTCTTGCAAGGAAACTAGGCCTCAAGATTCGGCGAGAAATCTCTTGCAAGTGATGTTCAAGGGACCAAATCCTATGAATAGATTAGTATTCAGGATAAGCAACTTGAGAGGACCAGCTCATACCTGTACTTGGGAATCTCCATTGATAAAAGTGACCTGTCAGAAACAGGACGAGATGTCATGTCACGTGCTCTACTCAGACTCAATGCCATGGAGCCATGACGAGGGCACCGTGCGGGCGGGTCAAGCAAGATGTACCTTCGCTTGTACTATATACAAGCCCTATACACTCGCTCATTGATACGGTGCACCGGCGTTAGCTCATCTTTCCCGCAGAGGCAGGCAAAGGGTGGATAGGTCGTACAAATCAGGCGATAGAAACATGCTATGGGGCCCCAATCCTGGGACCAACACAGTATGGCTCAGGATCTGAGGCCCGGCTTCCTTCCTTGGCTGACAGAGTTAAGTTACTTAAACACCTGCAAAGTCGGCCACGATCTGCACCAGCAGCAAGGTTACCCCAATAAGAGATGGATATGGCAACCATGACACAAGTCCCACACTTTTCACGGACTACGCCTGGATTGTTTGTTTTGTGCTGCTGGGCGGAAGCTGCTGCCTACCAATACTCCTTGAGAACGTGTTGTGACCTTCTGTTGCTGGGTACATCCACCACCTCCCTGGCGCCATTACCCCAGCCGATGTTTGCATCATGCAGCTACCCATCTCTAAGCGTCTCTGCAGTGTCAGGACACCACCTCACCAATATGCTGAGCAAGCATCGGCAATGGCATGAGGGCAAGGGGAACACGTGCAGGTATTTAACAGATGGTTCTGTCGACCCTGACAGGAAGAAGAGAGCAGCAGACTGGACTGTACCCCAACTGGTCACCACACAAGGCTGGGACTCCCCTGACCCACTGCACGATCCTTCAAGCTGAGCTGGTGGGATTTCAGCAGGCATTGTCACCATGCCCTACGATCATGACTCCGAACTTGTCATACATGTTTTGATTCCACCTCTTGCAATCAATGCCCTCTCCCATCCTCAACCACAGGACAATGTCACCTAATCAATTGATCCTGAGCATAATGAAGCCTTAGAAGTTCAGGGTACAGATCGACATTGAACTGGGATCCCCAGCCATGCTGGCATCAGGGGAAATGAGGGCGCAGCATGGATGAAGCAAGGCAGCAACAGACTTTCCACATGTTGGTTACTGTCCCAATCAAGCCTACGACAGACCAAACTGGTGGCTGCCAGGCACAGAAAAAACTTTTGGGGGAGGAAGGGAGGTCTTAGGTGATACCCCATTCAACGTGGTACCGAGCGCGACTCAGGGAGAACCCCTCCATATGATAGAAGCTGGTCCAAAGCGCAGTGTACCGCCATCCCATCGGCTCGTTTGGGTTTTCCCACAGCCAGATGATGGTAGACAGGCTTGAGGAGGAGATGTGCCAGTACTGGTCAGCACGTTGTTCAGCGGCCCTAACACACTATCTTTGGAGGTGCGAAGTTACTGAGACACTCCGCAGGCAACTATGTGTGATATTCCCTCCCGGAAGTGGACCAGAGATGACTGCGGCAACACTAGTGTACCATGGGTCAGCGAACCAGACAGCTGTTACCTGTGATAAGACATATCTCCTCCTCGCTAGTGTCCATAGTTAGGAGTAATACGGTGTTGTCGCTTATGAGATGCACCAGTTGAGCTGACCAAGAAGTGGTGCCTCGAGCAGCATATGCGCATCATTGTGGAAACCTTTCTCCCTCTGGGAGCCCAGAGAGGGTCATCGCAAGATTGAGACCGTGCAGGACTACGGTCTTGCGGAACATTTACATTACATACATACGAGGGAGTTGGTAGGAATTGCGAATCATTAAAGAAGAACCTTACCACCATCACTACTACCTTTACCACCATCACTACCACCAAATAAAGATTCTAGTGCTGCCCTTTGTAAAGAATGTGAGAATCTCATAATTTATGAAAAGTTTGTAGATAAATACAAAGATGGTGGTGTTGGAGTGGAAAGCAGTTTGATATGGTTTGATGAACTATAAGAAAGGAGGATCACTCAGCAGGCCTGTATGGCCCATGCTCGGCAGGGTTCCCCCCCTTCTCCCTTCCCCTCCCCACTCCCTGACAATTCATCCCCACTAACGAAAACATTTTCCCAACCCAGTTGTCAATGGCTACCAAGAAATAAGCTCTGAAACTCTATCCACTCATTGCCAAGTCCCAAATGAGTGGATAGAGGTTATCAGAGCTTTATTTCTTGGGTAGCATTGAGGACTGGGTTGGAAAATGTTTAGTTGGTGGGCATGAATTGTAAAGGACCTGCAGAGCATGGCCAACAGCCTGCTGCACGTGCATCCTCCTTTCTTATGTCATCAGCCACTCACTAAACAACTGCTTCCACTCTACCACCCCATCTTTGTATTTTTCTACAAACTTTTTCATTAATTAGATGTTTCTCACATTCGTCACCAAAAGGGGCTGGCACTAGAAGCTTTATTTGGAGCCTTGTAGCTTATTTAGCACTTGCAAGCACTAAAATCAATGAGAATTTATGAAATATTTCGTAGGCAGATGTGAGGTCGGACCGTAACTCACTGGTAAAACAATGGCCACACTGGCTGGGAAGAAAGGCCGTAGGCATCTAGAGCTTGAGTACGAGTCGGGATCGAAGGACTATTAGGACTTTTAGCGAGTACGGACCATTTGTGAGCAAAATATTTTGATGAAAAATACAGGACTATTTACGAAATGGACAACCTTTCAGGCCGGAACGATTATGGAGGACCACCTGTATTATTAGGTAGGATGTCATTTACATATTATTCAGTGCTCATAGTTCGAGTGTTAAGTAGCTGACAGCATTGTCTATCGCTCCGCTTGTTTCCCTACCGGCTTCTCTGTAGTTGCTGGGCAGCAGCAGTCCACGGCATGGAGTCAGTGATCAGGGTGGGGTGTGTGATCACACATCACCAGAGTGAGTGTCTGTCTGGCTTGCGTTTTCTTGTCTGTTTGACATGCCTTCCAACAACACGGCCTCTCCAGCTCCCCATTGCGGGCCCTTGTTGGAAGATCATCTCTGTCGTTTTCTTGTTGTTGGTTCTTGTAACTCTGTCACAGAACAAAGCCTAGACTTAGTGATTTTCGACGGTTGTACTGAGGTTGTGTTGTGTCGGCATAGACACTCTGACGAATATCAGGTCCTGGCTGTAGCTTCTGACCTAATTTGTACTGGTACTGGCACTGTCTACAGTCGGGATTTTCTAATGCTGACTTAGATTCAGTAGTATGGGAGTTTGTGACTTTGTGGAGGTTCTGCAGATGGCCCCTACTTATGTCGTTTTTATTATCTCCTTGTTCCCTGATTCTGTGCTCGCTGTTGCTTGTTATTTTGCTGTTCGGTTTATCAGTCGTTTTATTGTTCAAGCAAGCTGTTCTGTTTGCCGGTTCGTCAAGAAGTTAGCTTTTGTGAGGGACTTTTAGTCATCAACTGGTTTAGTCTTGATCGAGTCTTGAGACATAGCGCACTGCTTAGAGCCACTTACTCACATACACTCAAACTTACTTGTATATATTTAGTATTATGTTATTATGCTAAACTATTGTACCAGACGGTACCTTAAAAGCCATAAAGATGTGATATGTGCCTTCGCACAATTACTACTATACACGAGAAGGGATGGTAGGTAACTGTATCCTATATTAATTCATTGGATTACTATATTTCTACGATGATTATTTATGCCTAGACAACTTTATTGTTTTTATAACTTACTAAATATAAATTTCTTTAGTTTAGTAGCCTACCAGTTGTAATCCTGAAGCACTATTTGAATCTACTAAATCTAATGGGTTTTTTGGGATCTGGATACTACTACTTGTTAACAAAACCCAGTAACAGGCTGTGGATGCTAGAAGGGCAGTCCTTTTAGTATACACTGGAGATCTCTATCATTATTAGATATCGCGTTTTTTTGTACAACTGCGTGTCTCAGGATTTTTTGTTATATAGCGACCACTTACAAACACAGTGTATCTGAGTGAGCTGAGCTCATGGTGGCCTCAAAGCCACCTTATCTTTTATGGACAATGTAAGATGTATGTGCTTTACACAATGAGAAGCATTTCTTTTATTCGGTGGAACCATGGTTAGAGCTATAAGTGAGTAGGTTATAACAATAAATGGAGAAAAAGAAACTGGAATGACTTATGCAGCAAGTAGCGCCACTAAACAGTAGCGGCAGGTTGGTGTGGCGACCCCTGAAATTTGAATTATGCTAGCCGAAATTACTGCTGGATTACTGATGGAACCAGATTATGGATTGCCAGATTAGTGATGGCCAACCTGTATTATAATTTTTACTAAAAAATAAATTCTTTAAAATAAATGCTGAAAATCATGATACAGTAGAAACACATTAAAAAATAATTACAATTTACACAGTAAATAAAACTTCAGTTCAGTGTACACACCTTAGCATGTTTTAGTTCTAGTTCAGCAAGTTCAAATCAGGTTCTTCCTGAAGGCTGCTACACGACGTGACTTGAAGTCGCCCAGTTCTATATGGTATATCATATTAGGATGAATATTAGAAAATTTAAATGCTGATAATATAATAATGGAAATCTTTGAATTTAAAATTTCATGACATGGCTAGCATAAAATTTGCTTCTTTTTTTTTTTTAAATATTTAGTACATACCTTCCTTGGCTCTTGAAGACATATGCTCAAACTTCTCACAAGCATTCTGTTGAGCTAGTTCAGCCTGAAGGTGCAGAAAAACATCATCACACAATAATAACTAATGTATGCAATAATTCAGCCTTACATAAATGACAATATTAGAGACTAAGACTAAAGATATTTTGTCAGATTATTACACCACTTTTAACATGTGTGTAATTTCAATGGAACCTCTACTGTTTGCCAATTTCTTAAAGAGAAACCTCTGAGTATTTTAACATGATGGGCAGCCAGCCATTAGGGAGTAAATCTGTATACAAAATAAAAGAACATGTGCTAAACTTGTATGAGCTTTACAGCAATGTGAGCAGGGGTTAGATGAGGTGGTTATTGTGGGTACAAAACTGAAATCAAACTTGGTACAATAGGTCAATTTCTGTCAAAATATCACAGAGTCAGCAAGGGGGAAAAGGGGGGTCAGTTAAAGGTGTGTGTAAATGCATGTCAGAAGTGAATTCTGTGTGCTCTCGAACATATACGACAGTCTATAAAGATGTGGTGAACTCATAGTGGGCTTGGCAATCCTTGCAGAGGCACACTGAGCGTTTCATGAGGTTTTCATGTCTCCAAGTCCTAAATATGAGTGTAGTTTCCCAGGACCAACAGCAATGGGTCAAAGGTGGATAAGAACCTAACTGTAGTTTGACAGAAAACAACTTGAGAGTAAGAGAGTACTACAAAATAGCCAAGAAAGGACTACCCATGTTACAGTTTTTTTTTTTTTTTCAACAAGTCGGTCATCTCCCACCTAGGCAGGGTGAACCAAAAAGAAAAAATCCCCAAAAAGAAAATACTTTCAACATCATTCAACACTTTCACCTCACTCACACATAATCACTGTTTTTGCAGAGGTGCCCAGAATACAACAGTCTAGAAGTATATACGTATAAAAAATACACAATATATCCCTCCAAACTGCCAATATCCCAAACCCCTCCTTTAGAGTGCAGGCATTGTACTTCCCATTTCCAGGACTCAAGTCCGGTTATATAAAATAACCGGTTTCAATGAATCCCTTCACTAAATATTACCCTGCTCACATTCCAACAGCTCGTCAGGTCCCAAATACCATTTGTCTCCATTCACTCCTATCTAACATGGTCACGCACGCTTGCTGAAAGTCCAAACCCCTCGCCCACAACACCACCTTTACCCCCTCCCTCCAACCTTTTCGAGGATGAGCCCTACCCCGCCTTCCTTCCCCTACAGATTTATATGCTCTCCATGTCATTCTACTTTGATCAATTCTCTCTAAATGACCAAACCACCTCAATAAACCCTCTTAATACCTCTGACTAATACTTTTATTAACTCCACACCTTCTCCTAATTTCCACACTCTGAATTTTCTCCATAATATTTACACCACACATTGCCCTTAGACAGGACATCTCCACTGCCTCCAACCGCCTCCTCGCTGCAGCATTTACAACTCAAGCTTCACACCCATATAAGAGTGTTGGTACTACTATACTTTCATACATTCCCTTCTTTGCCTCCATAGATAACATTTTTTGCCTCCACATATACCTCAATGCACAACTCACCTTTTTTCCTTCACCAATTCTATGATTAACCTCATCCTTCATAAATCCATCCGCTGACATGTCAACTCCCAAATATCTGAAAACATTCACTTCTTCCATACTCCTCCTCCCCAATTTGATATCCAATTTTTCTTTATTTAAATCATTTGATACTCTCATCACCTTACTCTTTTCTATATTCACTTTCAACTTTCTACCTTTACACACACTTCCAAATTCATCCACTAGCCTTTGCAATTTTTCTTTAGAATCTCCCATAAGCACAGTATCATCAGCAAAATGTAACTGCGTCACTTTCCATTTTGTATTTAATTCCCCATAATTTAATCCCACCCCTCTCCCAAACACCTTAGCATTTACTTCTCTTACAAACCCATCTATAAATATATTAAACAACCATGGTGACATCACACATCCCTAAGACCTACTTTTACCAGGAAGTAGTCTCCTCCTCTTCTACACACCCTTACCTGAGCCTCACTATCCTCATAAAAACTCTTTACAGCATTTAGTAACTTACCACCTATTCCATATACTTGCAACATCTGCCACATTGCTTCCCTATCCACTCTATCATATGCCTTTTCTAAATCAATCAATGCAATAAAAACTTCCCTACCTTTATCTAAATACTGCTCACATATATGCATCAATGTAAACACTTGATCTACACATCCCCTACCCACTCTAAAACCTCCTTGCTCATTCGCAATTCTACATTCTGTCTTACCTCTTTTTCTTTCAATAATAACCCTACCGTACACTTTTCCTGGTATACTCAGTAAACTTATTCCTCTTTGTGGCATTTATGGATTTGGAAAAGGCATATGACAGGGTGGATAGTGGGGCAATGTGGCAGATGTTGCAGGAGTATGGTGTAGGAGGTAGGTTACTGAAAGCAGTGAAGAGTTTTTATGAGGATAGTGAGGCTCAAGTTAGAGTATGTAGGAAAGAGGGAAATTATTTCCCAGTAAAAGTAGGCCTTAGACAAGGATGTGTGATATCACCGTGGTTGTTTAATATATTTATAGATGGGGTTGTAAGAGAAGTAAATGCGAGGGTCTTAGCAAGAGGCGTGGAGTTAAAAGATAAAGAATTCAAAACACCGATATGAAAAACAGTACAGAATGGGTCACATAACCAGAGACCAAACAAAACGTTACTCGTCAATCCTAACCAGCCTGATAAGAAGGGCATAAAAACTGTATTATGAGAACAGATTATCCAACTTACGAGGTGATATAAAAAAGACCTGGAAGACCCTATCAGAAATTCTGGGAACAAAAAAGATATCACGAAATAGCGAAATAAAATTAGCAAAATCAGATGAACCCCAACTCCCACCAACAGAAACAGCAAACAGACTCAATGATTTCTTCTCCACTATAGGACAAAACCTTGCCAATAAAATCCCAAGCTCAGATACTCCACCAAATGACTACCTCACTGGCAACTACCCGAACACACTGTTCCTAGCTCCAACTAACCCATACGAAGTCTCCCTTATTATCAACGCACTGAAAAACAAGGCAGGGGATTTAAATACCTTACCACCCTTTATATACAAAAAAAGCGTCACAAGTACTATCACCAATCATTGCAACACTCTTTAACAAATCCATTGAATCCTCCACCTTCCCTACAGTTCTCAAAATAGCAAGGGTTATCCCGATCCATAAAGGAGGAGACCAAACAGAGTTGAATAACTATAGGCCAATATCCAATTTACACCCTCTCTCAAAAATCTTCGAAAAATTAATTCATAAACGAATCTACTCCTACCTCATCTCCCAAAACATTCTTAACCCCTGCAATTTGGATTCAGGCCTAATAAAAATACTAATGATGCTATTATACACATGCTAGAACATATATACACTGCAATAGAGAAAAAAGAAGTCCCACAGGGGATCTTCATTGACTTACGTAAAGCTTTTGATACAGTTGACCATGACTTGCTCCACGTAAAATTGTCACACTATGGTATTAGAGGGCACTCCCTCAACTACCTCAAGTCTTACCTCAGCAACAGAGGCCAATATGTGTACACAAATGGGGCAAGCTCTTTCGCACAACCAATTACAGTTGGTGTCCCACAGGGAAGTGTCCTTGGCCCTCTTCTCTTTCTCCTATACATAAATGACCTACCAAATGCTTCGCAATTACTCAAACCCACACTTTTTGCAGATGACACTACATACGTCTTCTCTCACCCGAGCCCAGTCGCGCTAGCCAATACTGTAAACACCGAATTACAGAAAATATCTACCTGGATGAGGACTAACAAACTTACACTAAACATTGACAAAACCTACTTCATTCAGTTTGGTAACAGAGCTACAGATGTACCTCTTACCATAACGATAAACGGATCACCTATCACAAAGCTAACAGAGGTTAAATTCTTAGGAATCCACCTCGATAATAGACTCAAATTTCATACACATATACAACAAATTTCTAAGAAAATTTCCAAGACTGTAGGCATACTATCGAAGATACGGTACTATGTTCCACAGTCAGCCCTCCTGGCCCTTTATCACTCTCTTATTTACCCCTATCTCACCTATGGAATTTGTGCATGGGGCTCAACAACAATTAACCATCTCAGACCACTAATTACCCAACAAAAGGCTGCAGTTAGAATGATAACAAATTCTCACTACAGGCAACACACTCCACCAATATTCAAAACACTCAACCTACTCACCATACAAAACATCCATACATATTATTGCACCTATTACATACATAGAACACTTAACTCTGATATTAACCCTCCCCTCAAAACATCTCCTTGCCAACCTCAACAGAACACATGACCATAACACAAGGCACAGATCACTCTTTGATGTTCCTCGTGTCCATCTCACGCTATGCAAAAACTCAATGCACATAAAAGGCCCTAAAATCTGGAATTCATTACCTGTAAATATAAAAGAAACACTACCTGTTTATAAATTCAAGTCTCTTCTCAAAGTTCACTTACTCACTCAAAACCAAATAAATACTGAATAACTGAACCTTATAAATTGTATATCCAAAATGTTACTCACAATTATATCACATAAATGTTAAACCTAGGACCCAATCTAACTTTGTTATTTTTTTAAATACACTACCTAACAGAATACTCCATTCTACTGAATGAACAGCAATGCATGCAACCATATGACCTGTCTTTGTAATACTCATTTGTGCTTTATAGATATCTGTTTACAATAATGTCTTATCACTGATTTCATCATTGCTTAGTTAATCTTAAGTAAATTTTAAGCCAGCCCATAATGCTATGCATATAAGTGGCTTTGGCATGCTGCTCTTACCTGTATTTTTTTTTGTCACCTCTGTATGTATGCTAAAATTTCTAAATAAATAAATAAAACAATAAATAAATAAATCACACATAAAGTGGGAGTTGTCACAGTTGCTCTTTGCTGATGACACTGCTCTTGGGAGATTCTGAAGAGAAGTTG